AATTTCCTCCCCCCCAAAAAAACAAACGAAGGTGGAAAAACAGAAATCGGAGAGAAAAACAAACGTGCCGAGAAAGAACGAAAGAAAGAAAAACACACAGAGAGAGAGAGAGAGAGAGAGAGAGAGAGAGAGAGAGAGAGAGAGAGAGAGAGAGAGAGAGAGAGAGACGTTCCAGAACAAAACGCGCACTCTCCATCAAGGAATCAGGCCTGAAATGCCGCCCAAACGCGCACTCTCCATCAAGGAATCAGGCCTGAAATGCCGCCCGCAGACGTTCCAAAATAGTAAAAGCACCGAGTCCGATGCAGAGGCGGGGAGGCAGGGAGGCCGGCAAACGCAAGCGTGTCTGATGAGTGCTGGACTGAGCCCTCGCCGCTGAAGATGAATAGGGGGAAGAAGGTGCCAAGGGGATGGGTCCGGGCGGGATCCCGAGCCTAAACGGAGAGTGAGACGTAGGCGGGAAGAGCGTACTGATCGTGGTCTTCCGATGATTGGATTGACGCTGAAGCTGCCACGTGGATGGGTCGAAAGAGCGCGCTGAGGCCTCTTGATTGGACGAATGAATTCATGCTACAGATTGAATTGCTGAACCACTACAAATCAAATGTAGACTTAAAGCTATAGGACTAGTCTAACAGTAAGATACACACAAATTACTGAACCATTACTACTGTAAAAAAAAATAAAAAAAATAAAAATAAAAAAATCGTTTCGCAAGGATAGATATCGGTGAGAGCTAGGTAGGTGTGGTGGATCGGGGTGTGATGAATGCCATGGACCGAGGGGAGATGATATACATGGTTGCCAGGAGCTTGATTGATGGAGGCGAGCTTAATAGGAGTTTTGTCAGAGGTCTAGCGATCGAGGCCCGTAAGGGCCTCGCCACACCACTCTCCAAATGTGAAAAAGACAAAAATGTAGCGGGCGAATCTGGCCATGTTCGAGACGGAAGTTCATTCTCAATTTGCACAGTTCGGGAGTGGTGTGGCGACGCCCTAAGAAGGTGGAGAGGATCGAGCAACACATCGAAGAACCTCAAGATAAAGGAAGAAGACAACCTCAAAAGGGTGCTACCGGCATCGCTGTCTCTCTAAGTGGGATCATCATGTGTCATCCATCAGGGCTAACATCGTTCTGATTTGTTTCCTTTTTTAAAGGATTCTGATTCTGTAAGGATTTGAACTTGAGTCTGTTTATCAACGGTTTGATGGGTGTACCATTCCGCCACATATGCTGGGTGGCAGCAACATTCTCTCTTTAAATTTAAATAGGGGTAGAAGATTTGGAAGTGTAATATCATGTGGAATTATGTGGGGAAAAAAAAAAAGAAAAGGTAAAAGCCCTGGTTGAAGCTTTCGACGAGGGCTTTTATTACTTCGGAAAAAAAAAAAAGAAGAAGAAGGAATTACCCTCTGTGGAGAAGAAAAGGGCGGTGCTGCATCATGGAGATCTGGTGGGTGTGATTGAATGACATTGTGTTTTCCACAGGATGCACGTGCACTGAGCCGTGTAGGAGGATCAGGGAGGCGCAGAAGCGGGAGCAGCAACTGGCAAGGATGGGGGGAAATGATGGCGACGACGGCAAGAGGGAGAGGAGGGGAAATGGCTGCAAGTGCGAGCGGCAGATGGAATATCTATGCGGACGATGACGATGAAGATGAAGATGAAGATGATGACGATTCTGAGATCAACAATGCTGCGAAGCTCCGCAGAAGGGAGGTGGGGAAATCGGGCGGGAAAAAAACGGTCCGAAGTTCAAAAAAAGGCGGGAAAGAGTGGGAAGTCGGAAAAGCCGATAACCCCCAAAGCAGATCAAAGATTACGGAGTTGACGTCAACAAAAAATCGAGGGGCTGAGGAGGAGGAGGAGGAGGAGGAGGAGGAGGACCATGAAATGACGACGCAGCGAGAAGTTTACGTGGTTGACGTCAACAAAAAATCACAGAAGAGCAGCGGGGGTGCAGGCTCTGATGGTAGGCGGATGGGGGGGAAATCGCGGCGGAGCGGCAGTGGTGGGGAATCGTGGGGAGAGGAGGGAGGGGATGTGGAGGTGGTGGTGGGCACAAGTTATGGGGGGTGGGGGGCGGGGAACGCTTTCAGCGGCAGTGAGAGCAACAACAGCGGCGGATACGAAAGTTTTCAGCAGAGCTGGTTAGTGGAGGAGGAAGACGGGGATCCCGATTGGGATGACGAGGCAGAGGTCGGGAGAGGGTATCGGTACTCAGATGTGCTCGGCGACCTGACAATCGAGAGGAAGACTACCGTCGGCGATCCAGAGGAAGATTATGATGAGCATGAAGATTATAGTGATGTCTGGGACCGTGAGCGAAACAAGCACTTTCGAGAGATTGGGCTTGTGGATTGGGAGGAGTTGACCTTTGACCCAAGTCCTCTTGTCGTTTGCGCCTTCTCGAGATGGTAATTATTCACCCAACGGCCTCTGGATTATTCCCCCCCTTCCCCCCCTTCCCCCCCCTCTCCTCTCAACCTAAATTCCACATCTTGTATCTAGAAACCTGCAGGGAAAAAAAAAGAAAAGAAAAGCAAAGTTAAAAGGAAATGAGAAAAAGAGTTGGGAAAAAAAAAGAAAGAAAGAAAAAAAAAAAGAGTTGAAAGGGAATGATGCTCTATAACTACTGAGAGTTCCATGCTAGAGCTCTACGAGTCCATAGAACTACTCTCTCTCTCTCTCTCTCACACACACACACACTCTTTGTCTCTGTCTCTGTTTCTCTCTGCAACAACTCTCTCTCTCTCTCTCTCTCTTTCTCTCTCTCTCTCTCTCTCTCTCTTCTCTTTCTGCCTGTCTGTTCTGTCTGTAGTCTGTCTGTCTGTCTGTCTCTCCGCCACGTCTCCTTCTCATTCTCTTTTGACTATGCAACTCTACTCCTCTCTCTCTCTCTCTCTCACACACACACACACACACATTTCAACAATCAGTTAAAATTAATTTGTTTAGAGACTCAAGATTGGTTTGTTTCGACATGGGCTGGCTTGTTCCTGCTGCAAACATGTCAAACGAAAGCAATTTGGTTTCATTGAACATACTGGAAGAATGTGAAAACACAGTTGTCAACATACATGGGAAGAATGTGAAAACACAGTTGTCAACATACATGGGAAGAATGTGAAAACACAATTGTGAACATACATGGGAAGAATGTGAAAACACAATCATATTTCCTCAGAGGAGTTAGATTTGATGTTCAGAGATCAGTTTAGGGGTTCAGGAGTAGGTACTGATCGGTAATTTCTAGCTTCGGGTCCATCCGTGCAAGCACTTGCACAGAATCGAAGCGGCACCCTTAGCCACTAGAGGCAGGTCTCTTAACCAGTACAGCCATCAGTTCAGCGAACTTTAGGGGTTCCAAAGGCAGATTGACGTCAGTCTACTGTCTTCACCTGAATAAATGCCCAGACATTATCGCTGCATCTGGACTGAAAGTTGTGCTAAATGCAGCAGCTGTAATGACGGGGCGTTCTATTCAGGTGAAGCAGTTAGTTGGAAATTGGCGAAGATAGATAGATAGATAGATAGATAGATAGATAGATAGATAGATAGATAGATAGATAGATAGATGTGATGAGACTTACACAATGGTTTCGTCGCATGCTTTGTTGGTCCATGCATCATCCTCTTCCACCTTCTCCTCCCCTTTCTATCCCCTCTCCTTCCCTCCCCCTCATCCTCCCCCTTCCTCTGCTCC